TGAGCCATTTGTCCAAGCCCAAATTGGAGTCTAAGCACGGAAGTCGTCAGGGAAAGGGCCAGCCTGCAGCATGGAGGACCATGGAAGAAGCAGATATGCCTTCAGAGAGGAATATTTCTTTCTGTGATGCAATAGCCGGAGCCTTATAGCAAAATTTTTCGGAAGCTCGATTACAGCGGAGATCATAAACGAGAGACGCATTGTTTATGTGGACGGGTCAAGGCAATGACCTCAGCGAAAAAAGTTATAAAATCAAGTTCTTCATCATTGAGGTTCTTTGAAACATCAACGCTTTTGTATGCAAGAGAGTCCAGTCATTGGCACGCCTTTCTCTCATAAACTAAGTAAAGCTTTGGCTGTTTGATAACAAACCGAATGATACAAAATTAAAGCACAGATGAGGTTAATGGAAGCAATATGCCATAAGCCCTTTCCTTCCGTTTTTAATCATAATGTCTTTTGTTTCCATATTTGCCTTGAAACCCACCTTTTCGTAATTGCTCCTTCTTTCAGGCGTTCATCTGAAGCTCAATATGCGCAAAACTTTTCATTTTGGCTTCTTTGCCCTTTCCACTCATCAACAGTAGCACAGACAGCCTTCGGTATGTTTTGTGCGGATTCGTATTTTGCAAAACTTGAAGTTTCTGTTCCATTGAAAAGTTGTATTCTTTCTCTTGTTATTTGAAATGTTAATTGGGGAAAACCATTCTGAGCATGGACTCGCATGCTACGAGAAGAAGGAACAATCAAAAAAAACAGATCTGTTTTCAAAGACGAATCTTCTGTACAACGCAGATACTGGTGCAATGTAACAAAAAGTGTTAAAAATCTGCGAATATAAAAACCATCATCGTTCCGCCTACGCTAAAATTTCAAGGTGATTATCGCAACGAATGTAAACATGTTGTAAAGTGATTGTTTCTGGGGCAAGAAGGATGGATATAACTGAATAACCTCCACTGCATTGCGGATTACACCAGGTGATGATTATATTTTTCCATCTTTGGGCGGGGGGAAGGGAGGCAGAGCGAATCATAGCTGTAAAACGCACACCGCAGACAGCGTGATCTTACGCTTCGTACGCATTGGTATGACCGTAGCAGAAAAACACTGCTGGGCAGGATTTTCGCAGAAAAGCATACTCTACACATGGGACTCAGAACCGACAAAATCTGTTCAAAATAATACTATGAGCTACTGGTCCCATCACTCCTGCTCCGGCTTCCTCATCAAGGGATCGTTGCATAAGTGAACACTTATGGCTGAGAAAGGAACATCAGTAAAACAGTTCTGTGTGAAGAGAGATTTCGTTGTTTCATGGCCTAGAGAGATTAAAGTATGCTCCAGAAGATGCGATGTTCAATTTCAATTCAAAAGAATCTTGAGTTATTAGTCAAAACAGCGAATTTTGAATATTATTCAGAAATGACTATTCAACCAAATATTCATAAAAAATGAAATGACTAAAATGTCGATGCAGGGCTGGAAATCTGTCGTTCCGATTTCGCTGCATCCAGAGGGCGGTTCAAACTGTTGTACGAAAAAGTCTGACCTGAAGAAGCTTGACATCTGCAAGGAAAAGCTGTGAGTCACCTGTCGAAACGGTTGTACCCGAGATGGAAACACATCATCGAGTCAAGCCTGCTGGCGTCGAACAACAAGACTTTTGTTGAGACAACAGCAGAGGGTGCCCAACATCAATCTGAAATACCATTTTTAAAGGTCAAACGACTTTACCGTTTAAGCTCTATTTGCCAATGACGACGGTGACAAAGCAACAGCCACGATGGAACGCGATTCTGTTTTCACGGGATCGCGTTTGAAAAATGTACTTGTGTTGTACCTGCAGGCCATTAGGACAACGCAGATCAACAAATGATCAAATTACAGGCAACCGTGCCATAGGTTTGTAGTACACGAAGGAGATATTATATATGGACTGTTCATAAAATGCTTTGTCTCTAAGTTATTTTCGAATCACTAAGCAAGAAATTCGACCCCACTTCATCCCGAGGCAATCAGCCGAGGAACAGATCCCTAGTCAATGACCCATAAAACATTTTTGCCTCATATTGCTCTAGTCATGTCAAAACTTAGGCAACTTCCGATTACGCTGTTCATCGCGCTCATGTTAAATGGCTGCCATGAGCCTTGACCCATTTAATAAAACATTCAATCCTGCAGTCGGTAAGAAAACGTTCCATACTCAGTGATGGTACACAATCAATGTGCCTAATCCAAAGTCCCTGAATATCCGAATTGCCTTCATGACAAACGAAAGGTCAAAAGCAATACTGAAGAAGGTCAAAAATTGGATTCCCGAGAAGCAGCCAAATATCGTGTGCCAGATCGACTGAGTGACTACAATTTGACAATGACCATACATCGGGGCCATTGACCATACATGACCTGACCATACATGGGGATGAAAGTTTCTGGGCATAGACTAGCTAGAAAATGATCAGTCG